CCCCCCCCCCCCCCCCGAGATAACTGCAGAAGAAATTTACACTAAAATTCTTAAGGACTTTTTAATTTAAGAGCATCGTTACCATGAAAATGTACAATTTTCCCAGCGTAGATCTGTCCACTTCACTTTGGGATGGTATTCCTTCCAGCTTGCTGAAAAACTGCAGGATCTAACATAGGATGAAAAGGCATAGATGCAAATTTATTTTTGAAATTGTGTTCTTAAAAGATTTGCAAGTTTATCATCTTGTTCTAACACCATGTGTGCACGTTCTATAAACTAATCAGTTTTATTCCAATCACAGAATTATTCGACCGATTAAAATCCATCAATCAGTCAGTGAGTCATTCAGTGATTCAGTCAGTGAGTCAGTCAGTGAGTCAGTCAGTGAGTCAGTGAGTGAGTCGGTCAGTGAGTGGGTCAGTGAGTGGGTCAGTGAGTGGGTCAGTGAGTGGGTCAGTGAGTGGGTCAGTGATTCTGTCAGTGAGTCGGTCAGTGAGTGGGTCAGTGAGTCGGTCAGTGAGTCGGTCAGTGAGTCGGTCAGTGAGTCGGTCAGTGAGTCGGTCAGTGAGTCGGTCAGTGAGTCGGTCAGTGAGTCGGTCAGTGGCTTCATTCATTAGTCAGTCAGTAAGTCAGTTAGGGAGTAAGAGAGTTAGTTAATCGGTTTGTCAGTCAAGAATGAGGGAGTCAGTGAGTTATTCTCCTTGTCAGCCAGTCAGTCAGTCAACATGACAAGTGATTCTGTCTGTACTAACCAAGGGCAAAATGGCGAAGAAGATTAGCAAAGCGAGACCTGACAAGAAACCCTCAATGGCGCCTTTCACAAATGCGTTAAGCTCCAGCACTGAAAAAGAAAGAGAAACAGGTAAAGTACCAAAAAAACAAGGACGCGCGAATAATTAAAACAAAAATGGTAAAAATATGTCTCATACCGGTTATCATCATTTATAGACGCTGGCTTGAGAAAAGCGTGATAAATATATCGTTTTTTATTTATTCAAATTTCAGGTCGGTATATACAAAGTATGTAATTTTCTTTCTTGTCAAAGACTTCTACCCTAGTTTGACCAGAAAGCGAATGCGAATGCCCTTTCCGACAGCCCCTTAGTACTGATTGATTAGGAAGACCCACCTGGTTTCAAAAATGGCGCGATTTTTGTCAGATTCTGTAGCTCGACCAAAGATGATGTAAATGCGACAGGCACAGTCCAGAAGAACACCAACAGGAACACAAGTGTGTAGATGAGAACTGTACGCAATTTCCTGTTTTGAATCATAATTGAAAGAAAATTAGAATTGAAAGAAATTCTTGCGGGAGATCATCAAAAAAAGGAAAATGTCTTGCTTGATTACAATCCAAAATCAATGCTGAACAGGACGTGAAAAAAGTCTGAGGAGTTATGTAATTATGGAAAGTTATACTAAAAACTGCCTTTATCTCAACAACGCCTTAAAATCGCAATATCCTTGGTGAAACTTAATTACACTTGAAGGATATGTAATATCAAGTAATGAATCTGTAATCCTATCTCCACGACATTTCGTTTAATTTTACATCGAAACACCGACCGCAATGTTTCCCTACGGAAGAGCTGTAAATATAAGATACCTTGCCCACAGACCAATGGAGAGATTATTCCACAGAACACTTGTCAGCTCTGGGGCGGGCATGACGTCGACGGCCAGGGGGGAGTTATCCCAGTCAGCCTGATTCGCCAGAGTTGACGATCGGAGAGATCGAAAAACGACGAAGCTACTAGGAAGTAGAGTGTGTTTCTTCTCAGTTTCAACGTCTAGTTTGTTCTGTGCAGTCTGCAAAGATAACAATGAAATCCTTAGAGACTCGCGTAACAGAAATCAATCATCTACAGTAAGGGAAAAAAAATTGGACGAGGGAGGACTAGGTCCTACGCACCAGTCTTCTCCAAAATCTGCGCAGCGCTTACGTGGGGGAGAAAGGGCTGATGGGAAGGAGGAGGAGGTGTCGCCTTCCTCTCTCGCTCTGTCCCTACCCATCGTCGATCTATTAAGTCGCGATTACAATTATCTATTACCTCTAGCTCTGCTCCATACTGGGTAATGGAGTCGAATTTCGTTCCGCAGCAAATGAACTTCTTGTGCGTGGGTCTTTCTTCAGTTTGCTCAAAAACTGCCTGAAAAATGTATTTTTATAATGAAAATCACATCCATAGTAAAATTTTACCATGAGCTAATTTGTGAACCTGTCGTTCTTATCACCCTCTCTCTTTAAAAAATGGGCTTCGTGCATCCCTTTACTCCTCTCTTTGCCACGCCCTTGCCCTACCCTCTTAACTAAACGTGGGTTAGAAGAGAGTAAGGAATAGGAGGTCTGAAAAGACGTTCTTCTTTTTCAAAGATCAGCTCTCCCTTCAGCTTAAGTCTATAATATTCCCCTCTCAATGCTACATAAGCCGCAATACGAGTTTCACTTTTGAACCCCCCCCCCCCCCCCCC